TGACGCACGAGACGGTTCTCTTTTCTCCCTGTCTTTCCTCGGCTCGCCCCGTTGCTCCCTTTCTCTCCTCTTGCCACTTCAAAATGGCCACACGCAACCGGCATAGCGTCTTCTGGTATAAATACATATGAGAACTGGGTCGCTGCCCTGAACCCCAGTCGCTGCATCGTCTACGAGTTTTCCTCCGTCGTTCCCCGGAAGTTTTACCTTTGACCTCGTACACGTCGCTACGTTTCCGCTCGTAATTAATCAATCGCCATTCGCGAACGTAATATCGATTACGTTAACGAGACGACTGACACTCTTTTTAAATTGCTGCCAATTTCCTCGTTTCCTTCATTCGACCATTTTCCTGCTTTCGTTCTGAAACTTTCGAATTAGTTAAAAGTTTTTAAACGATACACGAGTTCGCTATGATACTCGGATTTTCATATCTCGATCTCGTTTTGATTTTAGGAAAAGGAAGAGAATTTCCGATGCTTCCAGAGGATGTTTATTTAGCGTAAAATCGAAACCAGCCATCGCGTAGATACCATCGATAACAATTTCCCTATATTCTAATCCGAACTGAAGATATCCTTTAACGTTGCAACGATACAACTGCAAATCGAAAATGACGATAAGAACGCGACAGGGTTAAGAAGTATTAGAGGATTAAGAAATTTGAATCGCCTGTTTTTTTTCGAAAAATTCGCGCACAGCTTGAGAACTGCTTCTGCGTTCCCAGAAACTTCTAACGAAACTTCGAACAAGTTGAGACTGAGCAAGAGGAGAATGGGCACTTGTATTTTTTTTTAAACAGATACAAGAATCTCGTAGAAAAGTTTCGGTTTTCTCGGGAAGCTATACGCGTACAGATGCAAAAAGTGGATTTTATCGTTCGGTGCTTTTTTTTAATTTATTTATTTACATTTTACAATTTGTCCAGTAGGACAAAAAGTGGATGATGCGAGGAAAGAGAAACGCTAGATTTTCCTGCGGATCCACTGTGCTTCGAAAGATGCAACGAGAAAGAATGATCACTCGTGCCTCGTGCCGAAAACTAAACGAAACTAAAAAATGGAAACTACGATCGCCCGTACCTTGCGCAAAAATGTTCTCGGAGATTCAGAAAACCAATTCTGAGAGTTTAAAGTTTCTGAGAATAAATCCACCAAGAAGAAACCCACGAAGCCACGAACAAAGAATCGTACGGAATAGACAAACTTTTCTCAGAAATTCATCCTATCCAATTGCATAAAAACTGCAAAGAATCCAGAAAAGATTGAAAAGCCATCGTTTGGGCTATTCCGATAGTTAAATTGACCGGTTCTATCAGTTTTAGTCGCGTGACGTCTATTAGATTAATATAACAGCGGCGCGTTGGCTACCACAGAAGGATTTCTTGGACCTGGAGAGTCGCGGTTTTACGGCTCCGAATCCCGAGAGCCGTGTGTCTGCCATATGACAATAACATCTGTGGCCCACGCCAAGCTATACCTTGGGGTACCTGTGTTTCAAGCCACTACCTCGCATAGCATCTTGCAAGCCAGAACCATCGTACGAAATGAAATCGAAAGGTGTTGCCGGTTTGCTGGTACCGATGGACGCGCGGCAAGAAACGCAGCTGGCAAAATATTTGTACGGAAGGGAAACGTCTCGTCCGCCGATCCTCGATTAATTAACAGAGCCGGTGATCTGTTTGTACGGATGATTCGCGTGAAAACAGGGAATTTTGTGCGGTGTTGGACGAAATTGCCAACTTCTTTAGAGAGGCGATACTATTTTAATAAATTGTCAGAGTGTTAATTAAGTATATAATACAGTTGCAGTACTCTTTCTCTGTAAAAGTATTTATACGGGATATTTTTAGGATAAGTGCAAAATATCGTATAAAAATTGAGAGACACAAAGAATGAGAAATTTCTTAAATAAATCAACGATCATGACTAGTAATCATCTATACGTACACCTGCGTTCTACATAAACGATATTTAAACAATTTAATGATATGTGATTATTTAATTGCGGCTATTTATGCAATTTTATCGTAGGTAGAGGTTCGTTTCAGCTGCTGGATATTTTAAAGAGATATTGCTATTCTTTGGATATTTTATATTGTGTAATGGAACATCAAATTTCTCACGAATGCGTAAATATCCGTAGACTATATAGGGTGTGCATCTAATTGTTCATTTTATATGTAGAGTATGGGTAGATATATTGTTGTGTATATGTTCGTACTTCATATTTTACTTTTAAATATGAGATATTATTTGGTTAATGAATTCGCTGGTTCCCATATGCTGTTATTTGTAATATGTCCAGCTGCTGTGTGCATTATAGCAAGAAAAAGTTTTTTATTTGATCGTAACGTGTTCTCGTTGTTTTCCTATTTCATTATTAAGATAATTGGACAACGATACGATGCTTTGTTGATTTTTCAACGCATACTGCTTCACCGAATGCGATGAAAATATCTGGATAACTCATTTTCCACGAATACTCGTCACAAATAATGAAAGCTTAATCGTTTAGTTATCAAATTAAAGAAAACACAACTAAGAATTACATTAGTCGCAACTTAAAGAATTTAATTAAAAAGTTATGACAAATGTAATTAATATACTAAAACAGATTATATATCAGTAACATATTAACAAAGAATTAATTCAAAGTACATATAAGAAGACTAAATGAAAGAATTAAAAGTAATTGCTTTTTCTTTTTTATTAATTTAATTAAATAATTCTTTCCGAAACCAATTATTATACTCTTCGTATTACTCATACCGTTGTTAATATTTTTAAATAAAGAATTTTAATTTTCCAATAGTAAAAAATAATATACTTTCATCATTACCGACGAGGTAAATTGCGAATGTACATACTTCGAAGCAGATGTCGCCTACCTACAGCCTATTCGGATGATCGGTCGATAAAAAAGGAAAATATATTAGCTAATCTGGAATTTAAGAATTAATTGTGTATTTTGTTAAATTATCAAAGGATCTGATCAATTATAATAATATCTAAACTATCTATTTTCTTCCACATATTTCTTCTCGTATATCACTTCGGCTATTGAACTATGCCAATAGTAATTAAACACTCAATCAAGTATTTACATATATTTATATTATTACGCAACTGAGCTTCTACACTGAGCTGATATAATTACCACTATGTATAGTAACATTTCATTAAAAAAGTACGACACCTAAAAACTACAAAAGTCATTCATGTTCTACGGTTATAAACAAACTCTGTTGGCTGTTGGTGTTGGTCTTCAAACGACTCCATATCTATGGAAAATTACATAAAGAATTCCGATAATTCATCGGCAATTCGACCGATTTTAACAATGGAAAAAAACAAATGCATTGTTGATATCCTGAATGTACGTGCAGTCATAAAATTCATAAACCGATATGATTGGCGAGAAAGTATCGAACTGGCCGATCAGCTGAATTTAAAAAAGAACGCTATGGCGATAACGATCGTTTTGCGCACATTCAACCACTGCGGCAGTTAAATCGACAATCGATGACGAGCAAACGGTATCATCGAAACGAGGAAAAGAAATATCGGAAAATGAAAGCATGACGATGGAAAACATCGAGATGTCACGTAACGCGGTGTCACGATAAAGCCGAGAGACGATTTCGCGATCACCGTTACATCGATGTGACCATTGACATAACCTCAAACGCCAGCGTGTGATCGTCGGAATTAATCGAGAAAAAGCTGGCGTTGTCTCGGCGAGAACTCGACCTGGCCGAGAAGGTTCTCGCTGCAAACGACGCAATGCCACGGAAAAAGTCAACGAAACTTGCGCAGGAGCTGGCAGCAAAGTCAAGAGCCCTCGCAGTTGACACATGTCAAGCGTTCAGTGCGATTCGAAAAAACGTCGGGAGGGCCGACAACACACGATTACAAACACGGATGTGAAATCGAGGGACTCACCGCTGTGCCCGGTGTTGCTCGACGACTGGCCCATTATTCTCACGCCGACGGTGATGCCAAGCACGAGACAAAGCACTCGGTGATCGCGGCGGGCTCACGTGAAAAACCGGATGCATGAGTGCGCGAAAGACCGACACATTTTTCGAAAAATACTATCACATCGTGTACCCGCAGTGTCGCTACGACAGAGACGGACGGCCGCTTCGGAGCAACGAGGTGATTGGCCCGCGATCATCTGCGCATGCGCGACCCGCGCTATTTTGAATCCATCCCCTGTTATCTCGCCGCGTTCTTCCGTGCACGGCCTCTCTCACCGAGTATTTCCCAACGAGACCGTCTGCCGAATAACACTCCTACTAACCAGCACGCCGTATTTAATTAATAAGGTAATACGAAGAATGTTATTAATGTCGAATAATCGTGTAGCCTTTGTAAATTTCTAAGTTATTGATCATAGACACGAAGACCATATTTTTGTTGACTTTTTAGCTACGAAGAAATATTTTAACGTGACACGACATTTAAAGATAAGTGATAAAACCACAATGTTTTACAAGAATGGATTATTGTTTTATTCAACAACTATTTGACTTAATTGGTATTAGACTATGTATATATATATATATATAAATCGTGTCATTAATATCTTTTAAAAATCCAATAGCATCTAAAAGCATGTATCTCGTTCGAAAATCAAATCAAAAGATGTTTCAATATGAAATTTATCGATAGCAAATTGAATTTCAAAATTGTTCATAGAAAATGTGATTTATCATGATTTTCACTTGTGGTCTTCGTATCTCTCTTTAGAAACCTCTGTATTTATATAGTATGTATCAGGGGAAATACCACTGTGCTTTAGAGAATACTATAAATATATGTGGATGACAAATTGTATACTAAATACTATTCGTATAATTTGTAGTTGATAACGAAATATATATATGTTTAAAGTTGCGTTAAAACAACGTGGGGAACTTTTTTTACCATAGATATAATATATCTAATTAGTAATTGTTGCATTTAAGATGACTTGGAAAGTGTATTAGAATAATAAAATTTCCCCTGAGACACCTTGTTATATAGTCACCTAACATCAGTGTGCATGAATTAGTGAATAGTCCAGCGATACTACGAACAAGATACCCTTTTCTATTATTTACATATTACACCTTTACGAAATGAACTATATTTTCTCTTCATACACCATTATAATTTCGCAGAACATAATAAACCTTGATCTCAAAATGGAATTTCTTTCTTGATTAAACATATATATTTATTATATAGTCTACGTTTATTATAATTATTCTATTATCCAGTGTACTATCTCTTACTTTCATTGATACACATTTCGATGCTATTCAATTCTGATTCAATTCTAAAATTCAAAATCCATTCTATATCATAATCTTCTAATTAATATAATTTCCCACGCTACATATTACGCGTAAGTATACATTTCCGATTACTATTTGCACACCTGAACGAACCAGTAACCATCCCCATACCGTATGATCACCAACAGCAACACCCATCACCCATCACCCAGTACCCACTGCTAAACGCCAAAATCCCACAACGACTCACTTTCCACCACACTGCACGTGTGAACCAATACAGGACCAGTAAACGAAACATCCGCGCGACTGTGCGCACCTGTAAGTCGCAACTGCGCCCACAATTCGCGTGCGGCAATCTCCCGTTTCGTCGTTTAGTCGGAAAACAGTATCACGCAATTACAAACTGTTCCAGCCTATGAAGTTCCCTACTGCGTACCAGCTAGGTCAGTTCAATCGCCAAAGCGACTCGACGAAAGAAGAACGAACGCTTTAAAACTGGTGTTTGCGACGTTTTCTTTTCTCTTTTTTTTTTTTTACGAGCGTTACAACGAGGAAAGTCATCACGAGAGATCATCGATCGGGATACGAATCCCTACGAGAAAGGTTGGAAATCGACGGCGAGGAAATCATCACCTTGGTAACCAACGGCAAAACATAAGTGCGGGTCGTTGGAAACGTGATACGTGGATTCGAGGAACGTAGCAAGGCGAATATCTCTTCTCTATATGGATTTTTCGGTCCGATTCGATTCACGTCTAGGAAGACGTTGATCTCTCGTAGTCGACATCGGTTTTTTTTCTTCTGTCTGACATGACAGTTCTGGAGGAACTCGACTCGTGGCCTCGGGCATTCAGCAGCTGACGGCAACCAGGCGATCGTACATCCGGGGAGAAGCGTTCAACGCTTGGACAAAGATGGATACTGGCCTCTCCTGGATCCTCGCTTTTGCCTTGATCGCGCTCCTCGTATCGGAAGGTCAGTCCTTTTTATCAACAGAGTAGAATAATCTTTAGATGTCTCAAATAACATTAGCGCGATATTTGTAGATATCTAGGTAGCATTGGTACACTCCTTGACTTACGTATCTTACAGCTTTTGACATTAGAAGTAGCAAATCCTTTACGATAACAGGTTTTAGATATCTCAGAGAATATTAAAGTAGCGTTCATAGATAGTTAAGTAGCATCGGTAGATTTCTTGGTTTTGTCGCTTTTAACACTAGAAATATCAAGAATAACAAGTTTTACAGTTCTTGTTTTTGCAATTCTTAAAACCACACTGATACTCTTGGTAACATTTATCTGGTATTCGTTACAGGCGTTGATTAACAATTCTAGTGCTAACTTCTTGTCTTGTGACATCGAGTCACATCGAGTGACAAGGATTACCAGGCCGATTCAATAAAGACATGTTGTACCCATCGTGTATTGAATGAAAATTTTAGCTTCAATTCCTCAGTAACGATTAATAGCTAGTAAAATTATATATGTAATGTTCCGCATTCTAATTATATGTGTAATTTTGCGCATTGTTTAGCGCGTTGTTATAGCAGTGAATACACGTAAGACACTTAATTAGTTTCTAAACAAATTGTAAGTATAGAATTAGAAATTTATTTGTTGGAAAGGAGCGAACTGTCTTATATTAATTTATGTAGAGTTGTGTATTAGGTTTAGGATAATAGAGTGATAAGAAACTAAAAGGTTGGATGAAAAAATGGGCGAGATAAAGTCGGTGTTCTTCGTTATATCTCAAGATGAATAATCAAGGTGCAAAAATCAATGGAATAGGTCGTAAATGTGAATAATTTTCACGTTATTACGGTTCTCCTACTTTTAAAATATGTATGAGAAATTAAAAGAGACGAAGGTTAAAGATAGAAGACCAATGCGCCTGAGTGTAAAGTGAAATAACCAAAATCTCAAAACATGGGAGTTCCTGAAGAAGGGAAACACAACAAACGCTTCATGATTTTTCAGAAATTCTAAAATGACGACTAATGACGAAATAAAATTATTATATAAGACTCTTACAAGTCCGTCGTTTGTAAATTTCTCAATTTCATTATGCAGATAATTACATGATTACCGTTTTACTTCTCAATGAACAAATGATATAAATAATTCCAAGATAAATTTTAATAACCAATTGTGAAATTTGAAAATAAATTGCCCAATTGAACAGCTCAACTACTACATATATGTATACTTCAGCGAATCATCTAATATTTTTAGAATTAATAATAATTTTCTATTTTATTTCGGCTTTGACGCATTAGGCTGGGCCATCGATTGTTTCAAGTGCGTGTCGATCGACGGCGACAACAAGCCCTGTGACGATCCGTTTCACAACAACGGGAGTCTGGCCTTCCTGGAGTCGCCATGCTTAGGAGGTCGCAAAGGGCGCGATGGTCTTTTCCCCGCGACTGCGTGCATCAAAATAGCGGGAATATATGGTAAAACTTTCCTCTTTTTGTAATCACGAGTGGCTCTTAACCCCTTTCAGCGCTGTCTGTTCAACGAATACACTGTGCCTGCGGGTACAGTACTGTCTGTTCACGGAGGTTTCACCAGCGGAAAAGTTAATATATCGCTCGAAACAATCACCAAATTTATTCTGAATAATCTCGTGAAATTTCCCTATGTATGTTTCCAGATTAAAACGTTTGAAAAATGTTAAAGAAGAACCGTACCTCACTGGAGATAATTGTAAAAAATATATCGTTCGAGAAAATTAGTAGATCTATTTTAAATAATTGCAGAAAAATAATACAGATTATGTTTGCAGATTGCGGCCTTTCGAAAATGATAGAAAACAATTAGCTTCGTGTAGGTAATCTATAAATCTTGATTCGAATAGAAATTAAATTTACGTTAGAGTAATTTTGAAATAATTGAAAATTATAATTTTGGTGGTTGTGTCACCACCGTTATAATTATTTGCTGGCTTCGTTGGAAACTACAGTAATGTTACATTGAAACACAGACATCGATACTTTTTCGCATTTCATACAAATAATTTTCATTAAAAACACGAGGTGAAAATAATTCGTATCTAAAATTGTGTCTGCATAAAGTTCCGAATTTTCTCCAACATCGAAGCGAGAAAACATACCACGCGAACCTCAACTGCGACAAAACTTTCAACTTTTATATTTCCTCGAGTTTACGGCGGGGCAACAGCAGGGAAACAGATGAAAACTATGTTTGTAATTAACGTGTGATCAATTAGACGAATCCGGGGTCTCTTTGACGGTGAGAAGCTGCGCGCTGGACAGCGGAACTCTGACGACCGACTCCGAAATTATAAGAATGTCACATTGCGGAGGGTTCTATTTCGACGACAAGTAAGTGAGATCGTGGAGAAACATAATTTGACTTCGTTTTTTTTTTCACTCCGCGCTAATTGCAAGAGTTACCATGTCTGAAATTGACCCCTATTATAATTGCTACGACCTCTGACACGATTGCGGATGAGGAAAAAAAAAAATAAAAACTAGGTGATTACGACTGTATACGTTAATTTTAATCAATACGTACTTTGCTTCACGGAACGCGTTCGATAAAACAAATTGCATTTATACGTTGCAATTATTTATACTGACATAGTTTTTTCTCGATATTCCAAAGAAATTCCAATCAAATTTTTCTTTTTAACGTTGCCATGGTAACTCTCGATATTTCTTCTTCTTTCTCTGGCAGTGAATTTTAGTCGCTTCTAAATCAGTTTGCCAAAATGCACGAAAATAAAAACATTTGCATCAGCAATGTTACTTAGATGATTAATACGACACGTGTTGATCAATAGCAATTAAAATATTAGGATGTTTAAGACAAGTTTATTTAAGTTGACTATAGTTGTTTAATTATATCTGCAGCAATAAGGAGACAGCTCTAATATTTGAATTATATTATTATTCTATATTAGTAGAATATTAAAAAGTGATTCGATTTTGGATTGGCTCTTGTCGATTTATTTAAATTACCAGGAAGTAGAGCGGTCTCCTTTAATTGCTATAATACATAAACTATATATTATTGGTGGAAGTCGATAATAAAACCATACATGTGATAAAATAATATGCAAAATACTAATCGTAGATTATAATTTCCTAGATACGTTCGTGGATGCGTACAGTCTTGCAACGATGCGGATGCCTGCAATGGATCCACACGGCGAGCAGTTGCGCTCGTGCTTTTAACTTTATCGATTTTCCTTGGACTAATTTGACGAGGATGGTCAGCGTAAAATTCGCGTTAATTAAAATATAGATAATTATTGTATATATCAAACGAAAAACGATCACCTCTATATATAACGGACCAGTTCGAATGTAAATCAGTAACCTGACCAATTTAGCTGTGGACCAAAGACGTAAGAAAACGAAAATGATAACTCGTAAGTGATACAACGAAAGCTTTTTGGCTATCGTTCGTAAATTATTGCATTTATCCAATATATCAAACGAAAGTTATTATAATCAAAAAAAAAAAAAAATTAAAGGTCCAAATAAATACATATGTATGCGTTTCTTATGACGCTATAATTACGAAGGAAAAGTATACAGAATCACTATTTGATACTATTTGATAGTCTGCAGAATAAAAATAGCAACAACTGCCATTTTACGTAAACGTAACCGTTATTGTTTTATTAATATTCATGCGTAGAATATGTAATTTATGATCTAGTGATTGCTTGAAATTATAGTCGAACGTATATTCGTGAGATTATCGTTATTGCAGACTGTCTAGAAACACAATAAAACAGATTTTTAGTTATAAATCTGCGTATGATTTCTAATTTATCAAATCCCAAATTCGCTCGTATCTAGCTCTAAGTAAATGTAATTGCAAACATCACAAATGCTAATGTCACAGCTATAAGCTCGTGGTAAGAATGATTACATTTCTTTCTCCTTTTATGGCCACGAAAAAAAAAAACAAATTATTCGCTATTTTCGTGTCAGAGATACTTCATGAAGCTCGCAAAAACTTTCAAGAGCGACGTTATAGTATATAAATCGAAGATTAAATGGTTAAATCACAACTATAATATAAATACGCTATTCAAACCCTAAACGTAAATGCATCTTATGAAACGAAAAATACAAGACGACAGCCAAGATGTTCAAAAAAGATGATCATCTTTTTCGCTTCGTACTTCACATTTTCTCTTCGCAGTTCGAACAAAACCAAGTTCACAGCATGTGAATTTACAATGAATCATAAAGGTTCCTTCCAATTAAGAAGATACAAGAAGAAAAACAAAAGACATGAGAAGAATTGTTCTCTGAATCTATCCGAAATCGAACGTACGAAAGTTGAACTATTCGCGATGAGTATATGGAGCATGAAATTCGTTTGGACGTGAATCGCGACGGAGAAATCGAACGGTTCTGATAGAAGCTATGTAAACGAGACAAGATCCCGGGAACAATCTCAAACATGAAAAATCGTATGTCGAACGCGTCGCAAGAATTCGTCGAGTTCTTCTCGCGCGTCGCCTGCTGGATATGGGAGACCATCGAAAAGTTATTCGACATCATTCTCGATTTCTTGGCGAGGATAATCGAGCTGATACTAGCGGTGATGAACCTGATTTTTCAGGTGATCTGTTTCCTAAGGGATCTCTGTATCGAGGCCATGCAAACATTCGCCAACGTCTTTCGAGGGATCGTTAACGTCGTTAGCAATATCAGCTGCGAAGAGGTCGAGGATTTCGTCTCTGCTTGCATCGTTGTTCTGCTTTGGATCGTCGCATTTAAACTCGTGCGGAATTTGTTGCAAGTAGGAATCTTACATATTCGTGGAATTCTTTTCGTTTATCATATTCCACTGATAACACGTTTCTTAAATTCATTTTGAAGAAGATTTAACATTGCTACGATCGCCGAATTTTTATGTTTCAATATCGCACTCGTTTGAACAAAGAAAATGGTTCCTTTAACGTCTTAAGAACAAGTGGACGATCACGTACATTAATTGCCTAGAAATTTTTTTACAAAAACAAGATTAGGTAAAGAAAGCAGGAAGATTTTTTGTTAGATGTTTTTCTGGATAAAATGTACGCAATGTCAACAATTTTTCTACGCGAACAGGTCAAGTAATTTGCTTTGATTTTTAGAAGGAAGAAATACAACGGGGCTTTTAGAACGTTAAGCGCGTTTGACGAAATACCGAGATACGTTTGTTCCGGTGTATAATGGAAGACTGTGGCACAAAAACCAGGTAATCACAACATTTACGAATTTTAATCGTAGTTTCAGTTATCCTATGTAAAATTGAAAATTCACTGTATGATCTTCAAAGTCTTAATATTATCTGGTTTTTGACCTGACAGTTTCATTACTTGTCATACGGCACTTAAAATAATTGAAACATTTAATAATAACTCTTTAAATATTTCAAAACTTTAATTACAATTTTATTAAATCACGCGAAATAAAGAATCAAAGTATCGTTGTATCAAATACACGATATTTCCTTCGTGATAGAACGAAATATTTGGTTCAAGCATTCAAATTATTCAAATAGAAGATTCCCTAACTATTTTGAGCGCCATATACTTACGATTATAATTAATATTCACGTACCTGTCGGCGATGCATTGTCTTCTTTGTATCCTCCATATCTATTAAATAGCCTCCTTTCCATTTCCACTGCCATTTGCTTCTTTCCGAACTTTCGTTCTGAATACGTATCATTAAAAAGTTTACACGTTCACATATCCACACGTCCACACACACGCGCGTAATTAATATACTAACCGATAATCTCGACAAATCAAAAGTTCGAGGGACGATCCATTCCGTACAACGGAATCTCCTACACTAATCAAAACTATTGTTGATTCACACGATAGTTCCAATGTCATACGTATCTCCCAGAACTCTCGAATAGCTGCGTTTCTTAAACCACGACACACGAGTTTGAACATAAACGACAATAATAAAGTAGAGAGGCTCGAGCTAGGAGTTTGTCCGGCGCAGAGGAGGACAGGGAAAAGGATAAACCGACGTAACGGCAAGCGACCTCGAACTGATCCTAAACAGGAATTCAATGATTAGAAAATAGAAGGTAAAGATTTAAAGAGGAAGAAAAATTAAATATATTAGGTTTAATGTAAAGAGACCATGCATTAAAAATGTAGTATTTTTTTATGTCAGGAGTATTGAAAAATATAAAAACTAATTTAATGTTAAGAAATGAAATTGTTAATAATCCTTTTGTCTCACAGATTTAAAAGAGAGATGATCACGCATCTAATACACGCAATGTATAAAATCTGTACCAAGAAAATTGTAGAAAATAAAATATATTTTCTTATAAATATTATTTCTTATATTTATCGTTGTATCGTACACTTTCCGTTTGTTCGTAAAAATTGATACAGAATCCTGACAGACATGTAAGTGCCAGAATAGTAACATTGTCTATTTACAAAACTGTTTTGTACAAAATAACAATGTGTAAAGTTGTATATCGATTGCAAAATTACGCTTTGTAATTTGTATTCTATTATGTACATAATTAAATATTAATCTTTAACGATTATTATCAATTTGTAAAAGAGAGACGTAGAAAGCTTTCCCCTGTAGAATACATTCTATATATCTCATTTCGTATTATAAAAAAAATATAGTCATATCTCTTCTTTCACACATTGATAGATAAAGTCTCATGGGTCTATCATTTGTTCGATAATCGCAATTTGATTATAAATAATTTCGCCGAAATTCGCTTCTGTAACGAAATTAGATAATACTTTGCTTACGTCAATTTATCCTAATTCGGTTTTATGACATTTGTAGCAGTACAGTAAGTTAGTTTTCTCAGTCATTTACAACGGTAATAACCAGTTTATGTTCGGGCCAAGAAAATGTCTTTGGAAGTTGAATCTGAAATATATATTGAAAATAAATTATCATAAAGAGCTGGTGTTAAATTAGTTTGCTATATCGATACTATTAATTACCTGATTTGGCAAATTTAGAATTTGGAACTCTTGAGCCATCTTTTCACTCAAGTCTTCTGGAAGCAAAACTTGTAACCATGGTCCCTGAACTACATATGGTTTTTCCCTAGACACTAAAGTGCCCGTAACTGAGGGAGCAACTATCGTTATTGCTGTATGAGATAATATTGATTTAAACGTGAAATGCCTTCCGTGCATAACACGACCCCTATAAAAACACATTTATGTTTAACATTCATTCAATAATAAGATTAGCTAAATAATGTTACAAGGATATTTACTTTATTGCTAATGGTAACAAAGATCCGGCTTCAAGATTAAACGTCAAATGAAGACCTGGTAAAACTTTGATAAAACTTTCGTTTGGTACATTTGTATCTTGCTCACAAGGAGACAATCTTTCTGACTTAACAATTGGTTTTATATCTTCATCTTCTTCGTCTGATTCGCTTTTTGTCTCTCTATATTTCTCTGTACTTTTATCACTGTTTACTTGGACCCACCTATGAAATATAAGTTAATACAATATACATTCTGCATACTAAGTAGATCTTTTACTGCTAAATACAGGATACTTACCAACATTTTGCAGATACACCACTTAAATTAGAACCCTCCTTTTCTATACCAGTTTCTATTTTCTCTGCTATAGAGGGATCATCTTCCATAATAGAGTACATCCTTCTCATCTCAGTTACCAACCATGGTCCACAACCACGACTAGACTTTAGTAAATTTATAAGGCCTAAACCATTCCAATGCTGTGCAGCTTGTAGCTCTTCAGAAGTAACTCCTACAATTTGAGCAAATGAAACCTGTAACATTGTACATGAACCATTAAAAATATTTTATTTTAAAGTTTCATGTATTTGAAAAACAAATTAACTGAACAATTTTACTCAAAAGTAATTTCAAATAATAAACTTACATCGCCATGTGGCGTAGATATGGATGCTGGTAACTGTGGATCCCTGCCCATTAGAATTTGTGTGATGCGCCCACTGCCACTGTCTAAAGGTGCATGCCATGAAACATGGTCTCCAGGTAACAACATGTTACCAGAATTAAAAACATATTTTGCTAACTGTTGCATCACATTTGCTGGCCAAGTGGGAGGAGTCATCTCGTTCCTTTCCCTGACTAATCTAAATGTTAGCTCAAATCCAAAGCCACTTGGACGACCTGGACCACTTTTTGGATGTATCCGCCCATCTCCATGCAGATCTGATAAACCAAAACTTTGACAAAAAAAAAAGAACATTTCTTACTACAACATCAATAAACATTATTGTTCTGTAGAAAAAGAAAAGATAATTAAAATAAGGTTTAAACCGAAAAATGACAATAGTATTTTCAAGGACTTTTGGCAGGACAAAAATAACTCTAAACTTAATCTCAAAACATATACTAGATTTAGTGAATGGTGGAACGTATTTAGACAGAAGGCAAACGGAAAAGAGAAGACGTGCGGATCTATTTCCGGCGCGTCGCGCTTCAAATGACTTTATCTTCCTGTACCCTATGCTTTCTATATATAGAAAAAGAGAGAACTATTGGAACAGCTGCTCCAGACTGAAGAAGGAAGGGTCACCCATAGAAAATGAAAAAAAAATGAATGGGCGCCCTTTCGCAGTAGACCATTCGTCATTCGGCGCTTAGTTTTTAATGAGGAATTCCTGAAGCGGGCATTCATTTATCTTTCGACAACGCGAGTTATATATCTGTCTATATAAAAGTCATATTTCGTTAGTTTTAACTCGATACAAAATTTAAGTTTCTAATAAATAGATATTTCGGATAAATCTCTAATATAAAAACATAATACAAGATATTCTTCAAATTTCTATAGTGTCCTATGTAATAGAAGACAGTAAAAGCCGAAGTTAGTAGGTTGTAACTACTCCAAAATGCTCGTGCCTAGCTTTAATGTACCAGAACCGTAAATGTAATCCTCGAATGACAGAAATGGATGACACATACACGTGTCATCGAGAATGTGTCGGAAAAATAACATGAGCCCATATTAAACAGAGGCACACTCCTACTACTCAACAACGTGGCACTAACGAATACCCGACTTCCCGTTTTTTTCTAACACTTCGATTCTTCCTTCTTTACCAGACCACTGGAAAAAAATGTGACTTGTCTCTTTTGAATAAACGATGCGCCGCAGTGTCACTTTAACGATCGCGTGCGCAGCGGAAGAAATCGTTGACAGATCATCATAAAAATTTTATACTTCAGGCTTACTCGAAATATAACCAATAAATGCAAACTGTAGATTTTCATGTTAACTAATATGTTTGAGAATATAATTAAAAGAAATAAAACCGCGGTAGAAACTGTTTTGCTTGTCAAGTATTATAGAAAGCACTATACTTTGGGTATTTTACATATTTTTTGTGCAACTTCTCAATTTTCAATCTCCTATAAGTGCATAAAAATCCGCAGCCTAGTAATAATTTATAATTTATCTTTTTATGCTTTTAAAATATAATGATATTCTTCTGCTTGTTGATTACTTGTATTAATTACATGTTTATTGAAAAGTGTATTTTGGATGAATGGATAAGTGTTTCGAAATAATATGTAGAATGGTGAAACTCACCTAATATAGTGCCAATGTGGTGGTATTCCCAATTCCGGGCAGCCAGAATTTTCGTACATGCTTATGTAGTCGAGAGGATCCGGACCTCCCAACCTAGGTAAAGGTGTACAGAAAATCTCAGTTATTTCGTTTTACATCCGGTTAAATGTACGTACGGCTAAGGGTGGCTAAATATAAATCGTCTTCCCTTCTTGTACAAGAGTTCCATACCCAAACTCGATAGGAACCACCTTTCTGATAATGTATTTTACAATTTTGTATCGATCGAGAAATTCAAAGATTCGCGATAAAATAAATAAAGCCAATTGAATGTAAGATAAGAATATTAATTTTAACAAATAATAATTTTATATCGTAGAATATTACACGTATAGTCTTGCAAATAAATAAGAAGTAAAGACTACTTTCTAATATTTACTGTTGTAGTAATTTGTTTCTAGAAATATTAAATATTTATGTCATTTTTTTCATTTGTATTATTCCGATCAATTATGCAATCCTAATACAGGTTTATGAAGAAAAACTATTGTAACAAAGCATCTAAGTACTAAAAGTAAATAATATTTAAGAATGAGTACAAAAATAAAGCAATAATTTTTAATACATTTGCATTATAGCCCATGAGAAACGCGTCGTAAATTAATTCCAGTATATTTTTAATATACTATATCATAAAGAACTGGACGACAATACCTAATATATTATAAATACAAATAATAACACCGCAATGCATTTCTTCTCTCGTTCTGTCATAAACACTAAACATGAAATTTAAACCTTCCACGTTAGTACCGCTAGAAAACCACTTTTTATTGGCAGATTAAATCGAAGAATTCTTACCAGTATTTTACAACTGCAGTGACAGTGAGCGGATTGCTTTGGTCCGGATAGATCTCTTTACAAAGATTGTGCAAAGCATCAAGACCTAGAGCTCGTGCTGTCGGTGCCTGAGTGGGTTGTCCCGGTGGAAAACTTCGACAATATTCTTCTCTTTCACGCATATTTCCGTACATATACACAAATTTCCAACTACGAAATGTACTGCTTCGAAAATATTATGAATACGCGACACACGATCACTTTGTTTATTGTGGTGCAACCACTGTGTGCACCTTCCACCGAGCACAAAACATACGTCTCTGATTCCTGACAAAACTAAATTCTTTCAGAGCGGACGACCAAATGATTCCAAAATCACTGTACGTCTTTAAAAGTCACTATAGGCAACAGGGGAAAACACTTTTTCATTAGTCGATGTATTTGAAGCGTGTTTCTATTGGTTCATTCCGATCGAGACATAGTAACCTCAATCCAATAGAATAATTCTATGACACAAATACATATGCTATCCAACACGAGTTATACGGTTGAAGGTGTCTTTATCGGTGTGTTCTGGTAAACTTTGAACAGAAGTGCATTTAAACATGTCAAACTCGGCAAGATGAGGTTACGATATTCGGTTTTATTTTTACTTTGTCTCTTGTGGGATTTACGAATATGCTCGGGAACTATGTCAGTAAATAATACCACAGACTTCCAGCAAGAATACAGACCCGAAGGTCCATTGGTAATGTGCAAATTTCTGTGAGTATTTACTGAGTACTCGCTGGCAGTTATTTATTTGCTAACAAAGAATTAATTCTATTTCGCTAAATTTTTCATTTGTATTGTACGAATATATGTTTTTCAGGCCAAAAGAATTTATAGAATGTGAAGAGCCGATTGATCATAAAGGTAATAAAACTGCCAAAGATGAAACTGGATTTGGTTGTGTAAAGGTAATATTACATAGACACATAGAGCTATTATACATATCAGTGGCTTAGTAGAAGTTTTCTTTCTAGTTTGGAGGTTCCAAGTATGAAGATGTTGAAAAAACTAAAGTGTCATGTACTGTATTACCATATATTGAGTGTTATGGACCCAGAACATTTAATCGGGAAGGAGTTCCTTGTATAAAATATAGCGACCATTATTTTACTACTACTTTACTATATAGTATTCTGTTAGGTTTCTTGGGTATGGATCGGTTTTGTTTAGGACAAACTGGTACTGCTGTCGGCAAATTATTGACATTGGGAGGAGTGGGTGTATGGTGGGTTTTTGATGTAATTCTGTTAGTCACAGGTTCTTTACAACCTGAAGATGGCAGTAATTGGAATCCTTACGTATAACATACCAAACAGAAGAAACAAATTCCAAATCTGCAAAATAAAATCAAGTGTTTTGTATGCTATCCTTTTTAAATAAATATTCAATAATTTCGAATTTACGAAATTACTGAGATACTTTTTGTAAAGATGAATTTATATTTACTTGTATATATATCTTAATGTGTAAATAAATATTCCTGTTAGAAAAGTTGCTTTTAAATATCTATGGTTCCTATCCCATTTTTTTTATTAAAAGCATTAACTTGGGAAGAATTTAACAATTATTTCAAAAAAGCGCTTGGTTACAAATATACATGTATAAATATGTTTCTACACTTATCTATTATAATTCATAATCATCTGGGTGGTACAGTTCACTAAGCAATCTGTAAACATATGATGGTGCATTTCCACCCCTGAAAAAGATTAAAATATATTATTACATAATTAACTTGCACATAAAAAATTAAAACCTTTAACATTGTTGTCCTTACGAGTTTGAAATAAATAATGTAACTAATTCTGGGGGCACATAATCAAAAACTGGATTATACACATGAATTCTTTCTAACAAAGATGCATTTGCACCATCAATTACACCTTGCAATGGTGAATCATGTTTGTTAAAACCATCTTGTTCATGAGAGTAAAGATAGAGTGGCGAGAGTTTATACAGCGGTAGTAAAACCATTACTGGGACAGAATAATGTTTTGCAGCTTGAGCAACTGTATGTGAACCTGAAATAGCTCTCAATCCTCCATTTGCCATGACAGAATGTGTACCAATTATTACTTTATTCACTCGAGACATCATTGCAAAAATTGCTACATCTGATATTAAAGTAGTTTTGATTTTTGCCTTTGACAGATTTACTGCCATTTCATGACCCTATTAATGATCAAAATATGTTTAGTTAGATTTGTACAAAATTTGTAATATAACACATACATACACTTAATGACGGCCCTCCTTCAGCTACTATAACTTCGAAAGCTCTTGTTTTAGCTGCTCTATTAAAAAATTCCTCCACTAATGTAGATTTACCAATTGTCATAATAATTTCGTTAGAATGAATGTGTTCAGAAGCTTGCTGTGTAATATTTTCTGCACTAAAAGAGAAAAAAACAAAGTATAATACTGTACAAAACATAGTTCCTTGTAATTTCATTGTTCATTAGAACTAACCAGGTTTCTAACTCAACTTCAAATTCATTAATATGTTCTATGATAGCTGATTTTAAAGAAGGTATAGAAATGTTAAAATCAACTTCCTGATCACCTTCAGCAGTGAGAATTTTATGTAGAGATTCTTGTGTATCTGTTTCATCAGTATTATTTTTTAATTCGGAAGTATATTCTTCTCTAATTATTTGTAATATTCTACGGACCATATTTCCAATAGAGAATTCAAGGGGAATAGCTTCCACTAAATACTTTCCATTTTTTGTAATTATATTGATTAAATTCCTTTTAAAAAATAAAATATATACACATATATATAAGTAATTTGCTTTTGTTGTATTCTTAACTTTTGTAGGATCATATATACCTAAGAAGACACACAAATAAAGCACTATAAAATAATAAAATCCTTTATCATTTTAAGTCAAAAAGTTCAGTCGAAGTTAAATCTATTATTTTTAATAAAAATACTGACTATCAGTAACTGGAGTGCTAATCATATTAAATATTGACATCTCTTTATTTAGTGTTTCTTAGATTTACATAAACTTATATTGAATAGAAAGAAATATAACTCCTACTCAGCAGTAGTCCATTCTGCATTATTTATGATATCTTTCAGAACCAATATAGTAGCCACTACGATATTATGTGTACCATTGACATCGCTGAAATACAAAATATGGTGAAATTTCGCTCTACTCGAGGTTAGACTACTTTATTACATCCTCACCCATAATGAATATCATTTATTAAATTTAACACTCCTTCGTTAATATCCCCGTCTTCCGTGTTAACCATTTTAACAAAAACCTATTCGAAATCTTTTTCTCGTAAATATTATTCCTTTCTAGAAAAGCAGTATGAAGGATCTGAACATTTTTTCTATCAATATCATTTAAATTATATCGATAATATCAACATGCCAACCGCCACTACTAGTAAACTGAAATAATGATTGGTTCTTGGTTTTGCTTTACTTCTCATTTGGCTCTGTTGCATTGCACGTGTATTTAACCGCGTGACATGTGCACTACACGTTCGATTTTCGATTTCCAACATTTAATTTTGTTATAAATACTTCGAGGAATATTTGATAATTTATTTGCTACAGTTTATTTTTTGGTCATTACGGCATGGCTCACATTGGGAACGTCGTAAGTATGATAAACCTAGTAATGTACAAATTTTTTTTCATGTGAAAATGATCCTTAACCTATGTATGTCTTTCGATATAAATATTACCGTAAATTTGATTACAATTGTAAAAATGAAAAAATCCTTGTCTCGAATTTAAGATATGTTATTTGTTGATTACTTTATATCACTGTAACAAAATCTTTTAAACTTGCAAAGTTATTCTAATATTTAATTACTATTTTTTTTTGGTATATGACTAAATTTTATTTTGATATATTATGTATTATATACCAATATATATATATATATATATATATATATATATATATATATATATATATATATATATATATATATATATATATATATATATATATATATATATATATATATATATATATATATATATATATATATATATATATATATATATATATATATATATATATATATATATATATATATATATATATATATATATATATATATATATATATATATATATATATATATATATATATATATATATATATATATATATATATATATATATATATATATATATATATATATATATATATATATATATATATATATATATATATATATATATATATATATATATATATATATATATATATATATATATATATATATATATATATATATATATATATATATATATATATATATATATATATATATATATATATATATATATATATATATATATATATATATATATATATATATATATATATATATTTATTAATTTAGAGCAAATTATTTTGATTTTAAGACTGCAGATCAATTAATAGCTGGCAGTAGTGTATTGTCTAGGCCTGCAGAAGAATTTGATAATGATGTAAGTTACAAATAAACAACAAGAAATAATGGAATTTATGAAGGTAATAATCACAATAATTCCCTTTTTCTAGCCCTCTGTAGAAGCAATGTGGGCAATGAAAGCCATGGAACATGCTGAAGTTTATTTTAATGTAAAATAAATTTTAATATAATTGACTTAATTCTATATAACAAGAAGCAAAAGAATCAGAAATTTTTAATTTTTAATTTGATATTTCTATTTTAGATTTTATGTTCAGTTGATCCTAAATTTTTGAAACTTACACCTCATGATGAACAAATATATAAAACCTTTCGTGATGCTTTTTCTGATCTCAAAGTAGATAAAATAAATGAAGATGAATTAAAATCACCTGAAGGAAAGATGAAATGGAGACCATTCTGTGAACAATTTAAGGGACTTGTTGAAGATTATAGTTTTGGTACATTGTTAAGAGCAGACTGCGAAGGAGATTACTCAGAAGAAAACAGTATACTCACAACTAGAATACAATTTTATGCCATTGAACTTGCCAGAAATAGAGAAGGATTCAATGATGGTATTAGACAAAAGTACAAACCAAAGCAGGCTACAGAAAAATCATAAATTGATAATTATAATATTCTGATATTATGTGTTAATTACTTGGATAGCGTGTAATTTTTCATCTACAATTTTTTATAACTTGAATATATAAGATACTATAAAATGTTATTTATAATAAGCAGTGTCATGAAATAAATGAGTTTAAGAAAAATATATTATTATCAGTATAAAACTTTTATTTCATATTTTTTATTTGTAAACTAACTAAAGGATTTGATGCACGTGCTTGATACTTTAATTGTGTAGCAGTAGGTTTAGATGCTGCGGCTTCTCTATTGAACTTTCTCTTTCTGTTAGTACCAACAAGCCTTTTCAAAGTTGGTGGAACTATATAATCTGGTACATCCTTCAGGTGTGATTGTAATTTTACAGTATGCAATGCTTTGTCTTGTCTCAATGATTGTAGATCTTTCGGATTATCTTCAAAATAGCTTTTTAATTTTTGACAATTAAGTACCTCTTGTTTTATCTCCTTCAGGCGAGCTTCTCGAACAGCAATTCTCGTTACTGCTTTCCAGGCATCTTTTGCCCGATATCTGAAAACAAATATTTATGAAGTCAAATGTGCAACGAGCTTAAAATAAAACTTTTATCCAACATACCGAAAACCTTCGACCTCTTCTAGCTTGAATTGATACGTCTTAAATAATGTATCACGATTATAACAATGTTTTAATTCGCTTTCAACTTGTTCAAGAAGCGGTCTTTCTCTTATCGATACAAAACTTAATGCCGTTCCTTGGTTTTTACCTCGAGCCGTACGTCCGGCTCTATGAATGTAAGAATTTACATCTTGAGGAAAATCGAAATTAATTACATTGGACACAAACTGAAAATCAATACCACGCGCAACACCGGATTCTTTGTCCTTCTTTCGTCTTCCTCTTTTAACTTTTATTATATGAGGCTGTCAGAAATAAAAATTAGAATTCTATACTAGTTTACATGTACACATAAATTGTATATAAACATATAATATTTACTTCTTCTAAAGATTTTTCATCTGATGCTATTATAATGTCATATGTTCCAGAATTAAATTGAGTGACTGCTCTACATCTTGAAACTGCTGGCAACTCAGAGTTTAAAACACAAGTTGGTATACCAAATTGTTCTAGAAACAACTTTAGCTTATAACATCTATCTACTGTATTTACAAATATTATAGTTTTTCCTCTAAAAAAATAAATAAAATTTTTTATTAATAAATTACAAGTTTCTTCAATTATACTATTCAGTCTCATGGATTTACCGAACTAAATGTAACTTTAATAAAGCATATAAAATAGCAGCTTTATCATTTTCTTCTGCTGCAAGGCTATAATGTGATAATTGCGATAACGGAGCTAGTGGTGGCTCTTCTAATTTTAAGATTGCTGGATTACGAAGTACCAACTTTTTAAGCGTTACCACATCCTCTGATAATGTTGCAGAGGCTAAAGCTGCTTGGTATACTATAGGTAAATAATTCAATAAACTTTTTATTTCATCCTCATACCCAAATGAAAATACCTGAAATATAATGATAAAATTGTTATGTACACAAATAAGTAATTGGATTAAGATTGCTTACCAAATCAGCTTCATCAATTATTAATGTTTCAAGAGATTGTTTCAATTTCATATTATTTGCTTTTAAATGTTGTAATAGTCTACTTGGAGTACCAACAACAATATCAGGTTTTTCTGCTAATAATGGTTTCTGTGCACTAAGATCTAATTGTGGACTGACATCAATAACTTTTACTTCTCTGCTACATTTTACTGTTAAGCAAATTATGACATCATGTATTTGTTTACATAACTCTTTACTCGGAGCTACGATAAGCCCTTTAATTTCTTGTTTCTTTTGCATTCGTTTATTCGATAAAATTTTTTGTATAAGTGGTATAGTAAATGCAGCTGTTTTTCCAGATCCTGTGCGAGCTCGGATTAAGATATCTTTTCCCTCCATCATTAATGGTATAGCTTTCTCTTGTATCAACGTAGGTTCCGCCCAACCTAATTTCGAGATAGCCTAAGATATTTAATTTTATACGTAAATAAACAATTACGAATGGGAAATTAATTTTAGGAAACAAAAATATGAACTATGTAATGATATAATAATTTATAGTAAACAATTACTTGTACGTTGGAAATATAACCTCTTTTTTAGGGATGATAAAAATGTAGGATATCTTACCTTTAAAATTCTGTCGTCTAGTTCTAATTCATGAAAATTTTTTGGTTTAGTTTCATTCTCATCATCCACTTCCATTTCGTTCGATGCCATAATGAACAAAAATATGCTTTTCAAATTAAAAAGCACGTGGCAATATGTCAGTACAACTTGAACTGTTTACTTCTATCGACTTCCATTAACGAGTGGCGCCACTTCATATTTATCTCAAACAGATAATTTTATCTTGATCTCATACCTAATTTCAAATGTTTATGTTGCACGTACAGAAAACAAAGTAGAAATTGTTTAATAATAAACAGCAAATTGACTACGTTTTGACGATAAATAAAAATTACTACGAACTAAAATATATACTATTAGAAATAACATAAGAGGAAGTATAGAAAACATAACAAAATTGTTAAGAACAGCTACTAGTTTTATTACAAGAAAAAAACGTTTTTGGAAGGTGTATAATAGATTCGACAAGAGAGACCATTTCTAGAATATATTGCTATATACACACTTTAATAACCAAAAACAAACATTACAGTAATAATATTGTTATTAATATAATATTATGTAATAATAGAATCGTTTATCAATTGTAGTGTAAACACTAAAAATCTTGCTTCTTCTTTTATTGGAAAGAACAATGCATTCGCTTTGCCTCTTTATTAATTAATATTAATTCATGATCGTCGCGAAGTGGCCGCGCTTGCGATTCGGCGTCGATCGCGACTGAAGAAATTACATTAATCTCGCACGGAACAATTTTCACGTGCGGGCTTGGAAACTAAATTATCGCGGAAGCGATCGATAGTTCGTCGCTGTTGATCCCGGGCATCGATTCTCGATGCGATCGAGGCCGCCTAAAAGGCTTAAAAGGTGGGGAGGGGGGGGGAGGGTTCTGAGTAGGTATCGAGGTATCGCGAGCGCGGCGAATCGCGACCCTGTCTCGTTTATCTTAGAATAATAAATATTATAGTGCAATATCTAAAAAATCTGTCTTTTTTATGCAACTTACACATTCAAATACAGTGTACTCGAAAAATTTACAATCGTTATTGCCCTTACAAACATTAAATCTCTATTCGAGTGTTGGTAAATCCGCGATCCCTCTCTCTGACCGCTAAAAAAGAATGTTTGATTCAAAATCGTGTGAGTGCGTGTGTGAGAATCAAAAAAGAGGTGCAGCTGCTGCTGTAGTGATACGAAAACTGTCGTGTTTTTTTCATCCTTCTCCTTTTTTTTTTCTCTTTTCTTCTTATGTATATGCATATTCATCGTGTGTACGCGTACATGAGTACCGTTTATACATGTGTATGTTACGCGCGCGTGTGTATGTATGCTCATGCATCGCGTACGCGTGATCGTAGAATC